AGTGAAATTGATAATTAAGGAATCATTCTTTGGAATACCTGCCACTAGTACAAGGACGAATAGAAGATGCGCCGTAATTGGAGAGCAATCTAGAAAGGGTTTCATGAGGAACTGCTTCTGGAAGATGCCGAATCAACAGGGTACGCTCTTTAGCTTCCTCCCTCGGCCAATGATGAAGATGAATCCCAGTCGTGTAAGCATCCATTACAGTTCCTTGTACTCACTGAAGTTCTATGCTCAACAAAAATGATAGTCAAATTTTGGTTGACAAATCACAAAACAGTCAAATTTGGGTTGACAAATCACAAAACTTCAAAATGCATTGAGGCAGCGAAGGGATTTGGATGGCAACGGGGCAGTGCGTGTACTGCGCGGGCGGGTCGAAATCAAAGCCCATGTTAAGATCCACTTTTTTAGTTAGACTATTTTGATTACATTATAAATTAACCAAAACTCACAGGAAATAATAGAAAAGGGATCAAAATACAAAAAAAATTCTTCTTCAAGAAACTTTTGCATAATGTGCAGCAACTGATGTGCTGTTGGTGTATTGTGCATCGCAAACGCAAGCTAGTCTCGCATTCGCGAAAGATAAATTGGGGAAGGGTTGTTTTCTTCTACGTGAACGCGATGGATGGCTCACATACGCGATGTCTGGGGAGATTAGCCTTCGCGAACGCGGTTGTTCTCACGTGAACGCGTAGGCCTGGGCTTGTTGGGAAAGCTGTGAGATTTTCTTCATCGCAAACACGACCAGTCGATCGTGAACACTGAAGAATAGGATGCCTTCGCGAACGCGATGGCCAGTGTCTTCGCAAATGCGACAGGTGATTCGTGAATGCGAAGAACACCTAACGCTCACGTATTTAAAGGGCTGAAATTTGACATTTAACCACTTCCACTATTTTCGAGATCTAGATCACAGATTGAGAGATTTGCATCCCAACTTTGATTCGGGTGGTTTGATGGCTTGTTCTAAGAGGGAAATTGTGTTGGATTATTAACTTGGTTTAAGGAAAGAGGGAAGTATCGTGGTTAACCTTTACTTGAGTAATTTAGGTGTGATTGGTGTCACGCCCCAACCTGGGGAGGCGTGGCCGACACCCGGTGTCGTACTTGCCCGAGTGAACCACTCTGTAACTCATGATCGTTCGACAAAAACTAGAACATACATAGGCCGACTTGGCTGAACTCATTCTTTCTATAACTATCATGGGCTAACATGGCCACTGCCATACCTTCTTTTACGAAATGGGATTATTTATTTAATTTAGAGTCGCCGCTTGGAATAATTTTTATGGTGTCCCAAGTCACCGGTTTATTTTAAAATCCCAAATCGAGGAAATTTGACTCTGTTTAAAATCCTTTTTAGATGAACCAACAGATCTCTCTCATATTAGCTCACCAATATTAACAACGTTTTTCCTTGGTTGTACTCGTTGCTACTACTGTACCTGATTTGTGAAATTTTGTGATATACTCCTATCATATCTATGGTTTTATCATCATTCTTCCTTTGGTAGTTTGCTATTACTGTTTTCCTTTGGCAGTTTGTTGGAATTGTTTGACTAATCAATCTTCAATTGTTTATTTATAAAAATAATGTTTCACTGTTGTTAATTCACTTTTCCTTTTGTTCTGGGTGTACATGTGGTATTAGTTATATTAGAGTAATGGCCTTCGATTTGCTCGGCTAATATGGGCAGCCATGTATGAGTTTAGTAATTTGGATTAAGTAATTAAATTTGATTGCATAAGGAGTTTTCTTTGGCAGAATACAAATTAGTTATGTATAGCGGGCTTCCGGAACTATAGGACAATTTAACAAGGACAAAAGCTAACACTTTATCCACAACTACTTCCATAACCCATGACCTTACAATAATCTAAAACCTTAGGAAATTAATCCAATAACTCATGAACATTGTAATTCGCTTTAGGTACGCTCATAATCTATTATCGTGATTATGTATATGTTCGCGTAACATAATTATGATTTTCCAAAATAAATCAAAGTACGCGTTCGCGCGACGCGACTTTGGCCAAACAATCTTGATAATTAATAAAGCGTGATTAATTGTGTACACGTACGCGTGACATAATTTCAGCGCCTTAAATAAAACGGATTTACGCACATATGATCCGTTTCGAAGATAAATCCATAACGCCATAATTAAAAGCGATAAAAAGGTAAAACACATATAGGTTCTAAAAATGCGTAATTAAACAATTTAATTAAGCCAGGTATGATTAAAAGCGACCGTGGTAAAACCACGGAACCCGGGAATGCCTAACACCTTCTACCGGGTTAACAGAATTCCTTATCCAGTCTTCTGATTTTCGCAGACTTTAAACAGAGTCAAATTTCCTCGATTTGGGATTTTAAAATAAACCGATGACTTGGGACACCATAAAAATTATTCCAAGTGGCGACTCCAAATTAGATAAATAATCCCATTTCGAATAATGTCACTTTAATTGGAAAAACTCATATCCCCTCGGGAAAAAGGAGGTGTGACAGCTTTGGCGACTCTGCTGGGGAACGAACCCAGAATCTCTGGTTCAGAATTCGAGCTTGTAATGTGATCTATACTTGACTTTCTTGATTGTTGATATTATTGTGTTTGTGGGCCTAATGTGCTAATTGCCGCTCATTTACCGCTTTGATATTATTTAAACTGTATAAACTGTCTTCTTACGCCTCCCTTCCGAGTCTTCTGAAACTATGGTGCACACGTACGCGTGGCCCACTTTTCTTTCAGAGGTCATACCAAATAGAACAAGGCTAGATCAGTAACTAGGCCGGGTAGGCTTTCGTGCTCCCGGTACATTGCCCCCACCTCGGCTCGAGCTGTCCACTTGGGTAAGCCAGGTCTAAAAAACTCCCCCCAGGATTTTAAACCTAGAAGAGCATAGCATCATTCCAGATCCCTAGTAGGAACGTTTGTTTGCATCACGTGCATTTGACTTTGGGGGTTTGAGTCCATCTAGGATAGGTGTACCCAAAATAAAAGACCATCCTGATGGCAATACCATTTACTAAAAAATGCTTTGATTTTTTTTACGCCCAATATGATTTGACTTAGGAACTTTTCAATGTTTTATTCACTCAGTTAATTTCCTATGAGTTTTGGTTAATTTATAATGTAATCAAAATAGTATAACTAAAAAAGTGGATCTTAACATGGACTTTGATTTCGACCCGCCCGCGCAGTACACACACTGCCCCATTGCCATCCAAATCCCTTCGCTGCCTCAATGCATTTTGAAGTTTTGTGATTTGTCAACCCAAATTTGACTGTTTTGTGATTTGTCAACCAAAATTTGACTGTCATTTTTGTTGAGCATAGAACTTCAGTGAGTACAAGGAACTATAATGGATGCTTACACGACTGGTGTCACACCCCTTTTAACCCCGAAAAAAGAGATATATATGAATTGTTGTGGGTTAAAGAGTTTTTCCAATTAAAGTGACAAACTTGAATAGGGATTATTTTGTTTACAGAGTCGCCACTTGAAATTGAGTTTTTGGGTGTTCCAAGTCACCTTTTATTTGAATCCCTAGTCAAAGGAAGGTTTGACTCTATTATTATTGGTCTGCAAAAAAAAAGTCCGGGTAAGGAATTCTGTTGATCGGGGAGAAGGTGTAAGGCATTCCCCGAGTCCCGTGGTTCTAGCACGGTCGCTTTATTGACTACATTTGGCTTATATTATTTTTTTGAGCAAACTGTGTTTTAATGAATTTTCATGTTTTACCTATCAGCTTTTAATTATCGCATTTTATGGATTTATCTTTGAAACAAGTCACATGTGCGTGACTCTGTTTTATTTGGGGCGTTAAAATCATGTCACGCGTACGTATACACAATTAATCGCGCTTTATTAATTATCAAGATTGTTTGGCCAAAGTCGCGCGAACGCGTACTTTGATTTATTTTTGGGAGTCATAGCCATGTCACGCGAACGTGTACACAATTACGACAGTCGATTAAGTGCGCGCCTAAAGCATTGCTCCTAGCGAATAATATAACAAAACAAATAAAGAAATAAAAGAAATAAAAGAAAATTTCTAAATCATGCTCAAATTCTTTTGACTTTTCATTTTCATGTGTTTGAACCGAGCCCAATTCCTAAAACATGCCAGAAATATTTGATTACTAATGGGCTAAGTCTTTCCCAACTCCCACAACCCAACAAGCAATTCACATTCTACATACAAATGACGAAAATACAGGATAAATCTAGATAAGCACACATTCAATCACTTAAAGAAAATAGGTGCTAAGAAAGGTAAAAGATCAAAGCTATCAGAAGAGCCGTTAAAGATACTACCCCACCCGATCAATTTATGCTTTCAATTGCGTTCCATCCTTAGAGCTAAAATTATGACTGAGTTATTTACCTACTTTCTAACACACACACTTCTTTTCCTAAATTGCTCCTCCTCGCTCAATTCAGCACTAACACGAACAGAGAATTCAACACCCTATTCACATGGATATTATGTTAGTTCATTCATTCTAAAAGAAACACATGTCTCTGCTAGAATTCAACCGAAGAAATAGTTCTTCAAATGCATATAACTTGGAAATGACAGAGAATTTAAAAAAAAGCTAACAAAAATCTTCTTTGATCAATCACAATGGAAAGAACACTCAATAACTAAAGTGAAGTAGAAACCACATGCTGGGAATTTCATTTGGGTACTCAACTCATTCAAATCAGTACTTTATTTTAAAGCTAAAAGAAGAAAAACTTGAAATATGACCTTAGATCAAATATTGTTAAATTCTTCCAAGTGCTTGATTAATTAAACCCAAACAGTAGTGCATAAATCTTAAAACAGTAAAAATTCTACCATATTTATCTCTTAAGATCCAAGCTAAAACAATATTAAAAATACAAAAGAAATAATAGCCAAAATCCGAAAATTACTATCTAGGGAATAAAGCCACTTCCAAGTTCAAAGTTAATGCGTTGTCAGAAGATTCACTATGTGAGCATTTCACTAAGTGAGATTGAGCAACAAATAAGAAAACATCACTCTGATTTTTTTTTATTTCGGATGAACAAGTTTGTAGATATCAACTTTTTTACTTAAACAACTTATACTCCCCAGATCTTACCCATCGTTAACAGCTCTTCCAAAGTTTATATAAAAATAAGATTAATATAGAGATGATAGTCATAGAAATGAACCTGTTAGGCCAAAATTTCCTTAATAGCAGTTGCAGAACCAACGGATACACTGTTTTCGACTCCAAAATACCGACGAGAATCGACTATTGAATTCGGACAGAACCGCGAACCAGTAACAACACTCGAACGGCGCCGGAAAACTTGAAGAGATCTTTTTATCCAGAAAATTTTGAGAAAACGTGGTTTTGGAAATGGGGCAGAGGCGTTTTTGGGGTTGAATTTCTGCTAGGTTTGAGCTGGGATTTTTTGGTCATTTATGGAGGAAGAGAAGTTGTGCTCTGTGCGTCGAGTCCAGAAGAAGAAAGGCGCAGCCCCTCCCTCTTTTTCTTCGTCTGTGTGTCGCTCCTCTTTTAAGAAATTTGGGCTTGGTATTCCAAAGAATGATTCCTTAATTATCAATTTCACTGCTACTTTTTTTTTAATACCCAGTATAGAAGGTTGGCTTTCTTATGTTCTTAAAACTGTTTATGTGCTCATTTGTTTGGTGTAACTTGTATTATTTAAAAATCAAAGGGGATATGTCTACTGTATTTTCACACTATTGACCGGAGGAAATTGACTCCTTATACACAGGGGATACGTAGAAATTTTTTTAAGCTGTGTCGTATCTACATAAATAAAAAAAATAAATAAGTATTATTTAATATCATTTTTTCACAAGTTGAAAGTCTCTCCCAATGGTTTAATTGAATATTACTGCAAAGGGAGGTGTAGGTTCAATTCTCCTTAGCCTCAAATTTTAACAAAAATGTTCGCTCAAAGATCTTCAAAAAAATAGAATATCTAGGTCCAGATTCGAACCTACGACCTTTACAAGCCCAAATACGAGCTTGACCAGCAGACCAAGAAGTACTCTCTAGCAGGAAGCGGTGTCATTGCTATATCTTGCTTCATTTTTCAGAATATTAGTATAAACATTTAATAGTTTTTACAGCGACACCGCCTCCACCCATGTGCATCCGCCCCTGCTTCTAGAACAAACTAGTAGAAAGAGCATAATATGAGTTGGATGCATATTCACACCTAGATGGGTTTTAAGCTTGAGGCTTGTAGTCTTAAGCACTTCAACATTAACCACTAGACTAAGGCCTCTTTTCATCAGTGAAAGCTGCTTTTTCCTAATCAAGTTTCCTATTACTCTCCCCAATCCAAAATGATGGCAAATTGTTCTTTTGTGTGAGGATATGAATTGGCGGGACTAGGCTCGATAAAGAATTGACTTTCGTTGTGACTTCTAAAGTTAATACAACTAGAAAAAGTATGTTCTCACAGCAACATATTGTTTTGGACAACTGGTTTCAAAGAACCTCTTCTATACTAATGTTTTCTGACTTGTATTGCCTTTCTAAAAAGTAGATTTTAGATGATTTAATGAGATTGTGATGCTTCCTGAAACTATGACGTGTTTCTGATCCCTTTTCTTTGTGCTTGTCAACTTCTTTTTTATTTATAGCGAATCAACTAGTTGTCATGTTATACTCAAATTGTTTAGATACTTGCCTTTAATATTACTTATCAAAGAATATCTAGCTTACGCACCCAAGGGTGTAGCCTAGTGGTCAATGAAGTGGGCGGGGAACCATGATATCTCAGGTTCAAATCCTAGGAGAGATAAAAAATACTAGGTTATTTCTTCCCATCTGTCCAAGCCTTGGTGGTAGAATTACCTGGTACTTGTTGCTGGTGGCAGGTATCCCGTGGAATTAGTCGAGGTGCGCGCAAGTTGGGGCGGACACCACGGTTATCAAAAAAAAAAAAGAATAGTTAGCTTACCTAATTTCGCAATCCATTAGTTTGCATGAATTTTCCAATTTTATGTCTTTAGTTTACCAATGCACAAATTATACTCGGGATTGATGTTGCTAGACATTGGGTAGTAATGACCTTTAAACGGATATAACAGATATGTAACAGTGTCAAACTGTATATGGTTAATTCTACATCTTAAAAGCTTAGACTATCATATTTTGCTTTTCCCTGCTGAAGGATAACCAAACCGTAGATTTTCTGCATCCCCGTACATTGTTGTGGGAGCTGCGAATTATTTTATCATGTATATATCTCTTGAGCGGAATCTATATTTGGATGTGCTACCTGTTCAATAAATTCTTTATGTGCACAAGCCCTACTCTTTTTGATCTTGATACTACGTCTCTGGTTGAAATTTCCAGTGCCGTAGGGTAAAGGTCCTGCCGCCCCCATAAAATAAACTTTGTTCCGACTCGCAAGAGCTTGAGTGTCTGATCCAGACATACATTTCTGTATATATCAATGTGCTTGTGATTAGTCCTTAAAAAGACTTTTTTAGGAACTCGCCTCACTGCAAGGCGTTCGCGAAACAAACCTGAGGGTGTTTGGATTAGCTTGATGGGCAAAATTCCTTGATTAGCAGTAATTGACGCTCAAAATTCTTTAGGTAACACCTAATTCTTCAAAAATCCTCTTTAGCCATCTTAGATATGAAGTTAATGCTAATGTATCAGGGGGATCTTGACCTTGAGGGTGTTTGGATTAGCTTTTAAAAAGTAGCTTATAAGCTAAAAGCCATAAGTTGGTAATACCCAACTTTTGGCTTTTGGCTTATTTTTGT